TAAACTGTCCCGACATTGATTCCGGTTAGCTCCTTTATGGGTCCGACAAGACTCCGTAAACTGTCACAACAACTGTCACAGCATTGTCTGCTACAACGGTCCGACATGACCCTATAAACTGTCCCGACATTTGATTCCGGTTAGCATCTACAACGGTCCGACATGACCCTATAAACTGTCCCGACATTGATTCCGGTTAGCATCCAGTGTCCTCTACACCGTTATGGCACCACCATCAGTATCCTCTACAATGTTATGACACCACCATCCAGTGTCCTCTACCACGTTATGGCACCACTTTTCAGAGTCTTCACCAACGGTCTGACACGACCATACAGTGTCTCCTATCTTTTTTTTATTTTTTATTTTTATGTATTTTCTTGTTTATTTTTATGTATTTACTTGTTTGTAACTCTCTCCAAACTCAAGTTGGTTAGTTCCTATCCTCCTTGAGTTTGCGGGGGGCTGTTAGAATTTACCATTCACACTCACCTACTACACTCCACCTACCACCAATTTACCCTCACCTACTCCTCACCTACTACCCAAACCCTCTCCTATATAATGCCACTCTGATTTGTAATCAATACATCAATCAATAATACAATTCTCTTTATACATTGATACATTGTATTTCAACACTATAACACATAGGAAATGGCTACATCCTAAGTTCTAAGACAACTGCATAACAAAAAGAAAATCAGTAATCTAGATTCAGATGGGTTGTCATTCATTTAGCAGCCACATCCAAAAAAACTGACATAATATGATCTTGTGATCTCTAACTTGAAAGAACTTTTTGTTGTCCTTTGATGCTAAGAAAAAACCTAGCATTCATAAAAGTTGGCCTAAACCATTGAGGAGAAGCTTTATCTCCTATCATTTTGAGACAATTGCTCAAAAACTAAAGCCTAGAAATTCAGATAAAAAAACTTTGCCATTTTTTAGCCTCCACATCCCGCCTAACCGATATTCCCCACTTCATGGCAGCCCGAATCATACACCACCTAGCTTTAGGTTTTCCATTCCTTGAAATATGGATATCAAAATTAGAAGAAAGAATTCCAACTGTTTCATTATTTGGAGCGAAGAACAATCCATTCCCGTGCCAAGTTGGTTTTTGTTCCTGAGAATTGTCATTAGCAGTTAGATGACCAATCTGCATGAATGAGCCCAGAGATCCACTTGGAGCCCAACTGTCTCCTCCACCGTAGGGTCCAGAGCAAGAATCTGCTGCCATCAAACAATTCCCTAATGCTGGAGTGAACAATTGCATTGGCTGATAATGCTGTGCCGCAGAAACTTCTAGTTGACTACCATCTTGAGCATCGTAAGTGTATGGCTGCAAAGACATCATATGATTGGAAGCCAGCTGCATCTCTAGCGGATCTGAAAAGAATATGGTGCTGAGCAAATGAGTACTTTGAAAGATAGTCATGATTTGGCAAATGAAAATCTTGAACTTGCATCACCATACATAGAAGAGAATATAGCATACTGTAAAAACAGTGCAACTGCACAATGTGTAGCCAATCACATGAACTGCAAAAAAGAATGTAAACCACCGCAAAGTAGCAAACACCCAAGGGCCTCTTTGTGCCAATATTGAACATCAGTATTCAGATAGAGAAATTATTTGTCTATCCCAATTTTTCAAATCTCACTGACGATTAAAGTCTTTAGGATGTTAATCAGTAATTACTATGGCCCCGTTTGGTGTAGCTGTTAAAACAGCTTATAGATTATAGGTTAACAGATTATAGATTATAACTTTAATCAGAAGTTGTTAATCTGTTTGGTGTAACTGTTGGATTATAGATTTAAGTTGTTGAGTAGTGTTTGTTAAATAAGTTGTGAAATAGCTTTTTTCAATTAATTTTTATTTTTTATTTGTCTACATTTCTCATAAAAAATAATAATAATAATCTGTAGTCTATTTGAGTCTTTTTCTATTTTTAAAAAAATAAAAAATAAAAAAATTTAAGAGTATAACCATAAATTAACATGTCCATAACAGAAGCTGATAATCAGAAGTAAGGGGTGAGCAGCTTCTCAGAATCAGCTTTTTTGAGTTAAAATAAGCTGTTAGAATCAAAAGCTGTTTGAAATAAGTTTAACCAAACAGTCCAAAATAACTTTTTCAAAGCTAAAAGCCATAAGTTGGCTCAGAAAAGCTGAAACAAACACCCCCTATTTAGAGAGAGGTTTGGGGTTCGAGCTTATGGAGAAGTGTCGAGTGCCCAGTTGTGCTAATCTAAATTAGAGAACATACAAACATCCTACCTAGTGCCCCCCAAAAAAAGTTACTTCAGATGTCCACTTTGCAGTACAAAATTATCCTAATCCAGATTTTAATAATTTGTTAGGGAAATGCAAACGACTTGATATAATTCATCCAATGACTGAATTCCTTCCGTGAACTACCCCTTGGCTGTGTATGAATCAAAGATCTTGAGGGATTTGTTGAGGGAGAGGAAAAGGAAAACGAAATGTGACGAAAAGTTAGGTGAAGTTCTTAGAACTTGTTTTGCAAATTTTTTTTGAAGTTTGACAAAAATAGACACCAAGAAAAGATATTTTTGAATTATTAAAAATTATTTCCACCCAAAAAAAGAGAAAACCATATGAAACTAATGAGCAATTTTTATTTTTTCATCTTTTTCACCAACTAGTTTTTCGAAATTTTTTCAGAAAACAAATTCTGAAAATTCAACCAAACAGATCGTTTCTATTTCATTCACTTTTCCCTTCCTATTTCCTTTCCCTCCTCAAATCCTTGATTCAAACACAGCCTTGAAGAATCCAAGCCAGGAAAGAATATATGTTTGTTTCATACCTTGGTGGAAGTTAACAGGCTGCAGACTGCTAACTGGGTCAACTAGCAGTGCAGGTCCAAATGCTGATGCCTCATCAAGTGGAACCCAGTCATTCACATTTTTATAAGCATGTTTCTTCAAATTTTCCACCAAACCCTGCTAATGAAACAGGGAAGTTAATCGCATTTGAATCAGGACACTGATGACAACAGAAACAACAATGTAATTTACTTATCTTAAAAAGCCATAACTGAGGAGCAAATACTCCTAATGAACTAGTGATGGAGCAAGAACTTTTTGTTCTTTTCTTTCTTGTTTTCTTTTAGCTACTTTTTCTTTTTTTGATTGTTAGAGGTTTATTATGCCCGGCATTTTCCAAAGACAAAACTTGGGGATTTAGTCTACAGAGCATAGCCGTGGTTAATTGGTTCCTAGGACAAATTAAGACCATGTTTAGATCTTGTATTTGGGTAGGGAAAGGAAATGGGAAGGAAAATATGAATGAATTATAAGCTAATTTTGTTTCACATTGTCCTCTACTTTTCTTTTCCCTCCTCAAATCCCTATCCAAATTCATGACTCAAGCACAACATAAGTGTCTTGAGTGTTGCTGATTGAGAATTGACATCATCAGTGCAATCATTGCTCTGTACTCACACAACCATATTTTGCATGAGTATGTTGCATTTGAGTTGGGATCTGTTTTAAAATTAACCTAGCATGCTGCCTCAAATCAATGAATGTCATGGGTGTTTCATGGGTCAAAACACAATTGCATTAACACGGGGTCCTAAATTTTCTGATGTTGAACAGTGCAAGCCTAGTTAACATGATGCAATTTTGAGAGATCTAGAATCTAAGCTAAAGGTTTGATTTTAAAATAATAATAATAATTAAAAGCGATTTTAACTTGAAATCTGAAAACAGAGTAAAATTAGCATGAATTCCATTCACTGTGCCCGCTGATGTTCAATGGGAAAATGTTTGGTGTAGAAGCATTTTGTGGTATTTTACATGTTCATGCACAGTTCAACCAACCACAACAAGAAAAACCATAAAACAAGATCTATTTAGTGTATATTTTGAAGAAACTAGAGTTAAGCTGTGATTTAAATAAATTTCAGGTTAGGAACGCGCACCATCTGAAATACACTGAGCTTATCCAGCGACTGGTAATTTTGGCCATCATTGATCACTCCTACAAGCTTGTAGATGGAATTGAATACAAGTCCAACCCTTTCCGCATCCCTATAGTACGTGTACAACTTATCATCTAGAACACAAGCAGTGGCATGCTCTATGATTGTCTCCCATATCTTGTTTGAGATCCCACAACCAAGTATCTACGGTTTCAATGGCAATAGGTAAGATGGACTCCTAAAAAATGCAGCTTAACAATTTGAGAGAGAGAGAGAGAGAGAGAGAGATTCTCTTACATTGCATAGTGAAGATTGGTCAGCATGATAAAACTGCAGGAACTCCCCAACGGTGGTAATGCCGTTGTCAGCTAACTTTTTATGAAATGCACCATCTTTTGCTATCTTTTCCAAGCGCCATATTTCATCAACCAAGTTTGGAGGGTGATGTTTCTTATACGCTGAATGAAAATATCACATCTCAGACTTGGAATTATAACCATGGCTATCAATTATCTATTATAAAATATTGTTGCAATTACATCTATAATTGACAGTTTTACTACAAATATCTTGAATACAGTCGATTGACAACCTTAAAAGGAACAGGTAAATGGGGATAAAATAAACAAATTGAGTAGATAGCTCAGACTCAGAGTGTATGTGCGCACGTGCATGTCTATGGAAAGCACTAAGGAACTCAAGTTGAGATTGAGTGATATTCTCGGTATATTTATTACGGAAAGAGGATGAAATTCATTTTCTATGAAGTGATGACTACACACCCAGAAATAATTATTCCCCAAAATATTTTAAGTAAGGTATACAATTTGAAGTTTCATCAGAAACTGCAAAAAGAAAAATAGCAAATAAATAAATGTAGTATAATAACAAAATAATATTGAGGAAAAAAATCAACTACACTATCTAAATCGTAGTAACTAATTAATCCCTGTTAGTTTTCTAAACCGTCCTTTAACCTTAAATTTGGACATGCATGGAAATTTCGGACTCCAATTATATTTAGTTAATCCATCCAAATTTTCCAAGCAATGGCTGACTAAGATAATATTTTTGTTAGAGAAGAAACCAAAAGCTGATAGCATCAAGCATTAAAGTGACACAAGGTTATCAAATTATTAGGATGCTTTCGGAAAATCACTCGATGTGCAATCAAAGCTTCATAGAATATCCTAACTGCTTTTCAAAAAGTTATTAGGATAGGACATAGATGGCATGTTAGCATTTTCTTCAAATTGTCTGATCATGATTGCTTTGTCATTAAATACCCAAACAAACAATTTTTTCAGTTATTCACGAGAGAGAGAGAGAGAGAGAGAGAAGCAGATTCACAGAAAAACTTACACTCTCCACGCTGATCTTTTACTACAAAGGCTTCACTTCTTGCTTCTCTAATTCGTACATCAGTGGAAATGCTTTGAACAGATCTCGCTCCCAATCTAAACTTTCTGCCTCTTATCCAGCTTGAGTTATCCGTAAAGCTGACATCAGCAACGTAACCAACTCCATCTCTTAATGTAATTACCAATTCCCCAATCACCAACGGCCTTTTGCCTTCTCTTTCACGTACAACATTTGCATTAAACTCTTCCTCAGTCCAATCCTCTTGACCATCAGCCCTAAAATCACCATCAAGGGCCACAATTTCAACCTTGACTGAAGATAGAGGGCCAGATGTTACGATCTTCTTGGAAATAGCATCAAGTATAACAATTTTTATTGTTTTACTATCCTCAGATTCTATCCTGCTGCCTGTGAACAGTTTAGAGGGCAATTTATCATCAAAGTGCAATTGCCAATTCCTTGATTGAGATGGCTCAAGTTGATTAAGTGATGATCTGCAATAAATTGACAAGAAGTTTTAGACTGTAGATAAGATAATCGAAGAAAAGATTCAAACAAAAACCAGATAACCAGCTAAAAATAAAGTTAAACCAGGACAATAAATCTCAATTGTATTGGGCAAATCAACATGACTAATCCAGTCAGAATAACCCTATCAATCAAATTTGATCTCATCCTAAATCCTTTCTCCTAGAAGTATCAAACAAACAAGCACCTTAGGAAAATGATGTCACCAACAAAGACTGCAAAACAAGTACTTGGCACAAACAACAGAACTTACCTTGGAGAGGAGCGATAAAAGCGTGGAATCGTGCGTTCCACTTCATCCCGCACCTAGTAGACAAGAAACGAGAAATAATGAATATTGAGATATGATAATAGAAGTGTTACAATAGTGATGATGTCAGTCTTTCCAATCACAAATCAAAAACAGATACAGCCTAAATAATTAAAAGAAAAAAAAATAATGAAGAAAGAAAGACTTTTAGAACGCCTCACAGTCATCGTGATTTTTGAACTAACCTTACATTCCTGTAAATTTTACTAAATGCTCACGTGTATAATGAATAAATTTTTGTAACCCGATAACTTACAAATATTTGTTTAATTACTATTCCCCTCACATCTAAAAAAATCCAACAAGTTCAATTCTCAGAAACCAAGCTTAGAACAATAATCAGTATAGCTTTTGTCTACTTAATCAAGAATTCAAGATCTTACAAATTGACTACAATTAACACAATGGAAAACAAGGGCACAAAGAAATGAAGGAATTAGTATATCTAAGAACAAAGAAACCAATCCTACCACTCTTCGCAAAAGAGGTTCAAACATTGTTGCAAATTCATGCAGTGAAAATCCTCGCATCACATCTCTGGTAACGCCACTGCACAAATATCACAAACACACATCAAAAACCAATCAAGACATTTTAACAAAGCACAAAATGACCACCATAAAGCTAAAACCACCCACGTTGCAAACATAAATCTTCGTTTGGATTCCCTAGAGCCATCATCATCCTCCTTAAAACTCAAAAGCCGTTTCATTGCCATCAAAGAGAACCACCACAATTGAATCACTAACAACTTTTTTCTTTTTTTGGGTACAAAATGGCTAACAAGTTGGAAAGAACTAAAAATTAAAAATTCTCAAAATCTAATAATAACACCCAAAAAAGGCCTACTACCAAACAATAAATAGATGAACTAAACTCAAGTGACCCATTACAGGGGAAGTAGCAGGAAGCTTCAATGAATTGCAAAACGACGCGTTAATCACAAAGTCAAGCACGAATTCGACAACAAAACCCTAACAATCACAATATAATGTATAAACAAAACACATACGTGTATATATATATTGTGGGTTGGTCTTTGTGTTTGTTTTGTGTGGTGAGAGAATAATATTTAATTAATTAATTTATTATTATTATTTTATTTTTGGGGATTGAACAAACACAGAGATTCAACTAATCAGAGGAGATTGAGTGGATCATAACTAGAAACTAAAATTCAAACTAACGAAACAACCGCGTAAAGATTGAAAAGTACAATGAGATTAGGATAACCACAGGTTATATAGTTGCTATTATAGAATACGACAATGCTACGTAGTTCAAATTTTGTGGTTCAAAAGTGGCTTAAATGGCCAAAACGACGTCGTTTTGAGTATAGAACAACACAAAAATGGTCAAAACGACGTCGTTTTGGTCATTTGAGCCACTTTCGAGTTACAAAAACGACGTCATTTTGGTCATTTGAGCCACTTTTGAGTCACAAAAATTGAGCTACAAGACATTTTCCTATAGAATAATCTAACAATGTGGAACAGAGAGAGAGAGAGAGAGTAAGCGTTTACTTATGAGCTCAAGTCGTGTTTGTGCGTTGCGAAGAAGATGGGAGGAAGTTGCAGAGAAGCAATGTAGCGCCTTCATGGTTTGTGGATATGGACGGTGTGAGATCGACTTGCATAACCCCATTTTCTTTGAAATTCTTTGTTTGAATTTCGCTTGCAAAGTCGTCGATTATGGATTGTTTAAAACTTTCATATTTCATTTTTTTAAATTCTATTCTAAGCTCACAATCCTAATCTAAAAAGAATTTATTTTGAAAATAATTTTTTTAACTTTATTTTTAAATTTTTTTAACTAATTTATTCTGACTAAATTAAAATTAGTTCTATTTATAAATAATTTTTTTATTTTTTTTAAGAGAAAAAGTGAAATAATTATGTTTTAAATGTGATATTTTGTTTTATTAATTTATTTATATATTTTTATCCACTTGTCAAACGGCAAATCTCATAATAAAAACCATCTGTATAAAATATTAACTTCATCGAGTACTGATAAATACATAAATAAATTACTTTTTGTTTTATAGAATGAAAGGTTTAAGTTTAAACTCACAATTATCATCTGTTTTAAAAAATAATATGAAATTTATTCATATATCTAGTGATATCCGATGAAATTAATTTTTACATAACTCATCTAAATTGTTGGGATTATGAGATGAACAGTTTAAATTATCAATGTAGGTTTAGAATTGAATCAAAAAAATAAAATATGGATGAGCATGGAGGATAAAAGTATGGAGATAAGTCATTCCATGTTTAAAAGCAAATAATTTAAAAATAAAATCCAAAGCATATCTCTTATTTATAATTAATTATTTTTTTTCAACATTATTTCTGTCAAATAAGTTGTAAAAAATACACTAATGCTGTGTTTGGTGGGGGATTTGAGGAGGGATTTGGAAAGGGAAAGGGAAAAGGTGTGTAAAATTAGGTGAAATGTAGGTATATTTTATTCACATTTCACCTAACTTTTCTCTTTCCTTTTTCAAATCCCTCCTCAAATCCTCCAACCAAACACAGCGTAAAGTTCGTTTAAGAATTGACTTTTAAATTTTTTAAGAAAAAATATAAAAAAAGATAATGATTATTTAATAATTTAGAGTGATCTTTTAATTAAAATATATAATTCTCAAATATTTTCTGTACGGGGAAGAAATAATTCTCCTCGTATAATCCTGTTGACCAAGTCCACGCTCCTCCGTACGACGTCGCTTTGTTACCTGAAAACACAAACGTGAGCTAGCCGGCGGGTGTGTGCCGGAAACCTCTCCGATGCCTAAGTCAGAAAGCTTGACAAATAGACAAAGCTCTAAGTTCTCAGAAAGATTGTGTTCAATTACCTCCTCCAAGGTGATGCTTGTGAGCTTTTATAAGTTTCCCGCGGCACAATCCTAGTAGGACTTGTATTTCTCCATGCAGAGTCCTCCTAGGATTCATTCTCCTAAGGATAATGCTTATCCTTTTACACCCTCCCCCACTGCTTAAACCAAGTGGGATGGTTTTCTTTATGGCCGAACTTCCATTTGACCGAAGTAAAATTGGCTTTACCGAGCCGCAGAGGGCCGAACTATCCTTAGCTCGGTCTTCTCCTCCAACTCTTTACTTCGGCTACCCTGTTCAACCTTGATATGCTTAGTTCAAACTTCCAAGTAACAAGTTCTGACCGACCTAACCAGATTGTGTCACGACCGGACTAATTCTGAAACCGGTCTTCCCAGAACATACTGTGACCGGACTAACTCTAAGACCGGCCCTACTCCGAGTTGTCTCTGGACCGGAGTAGCCTTACTCTTCCTTGGGCCGAAGCAACTATCTCTTCTTGAGCCGGAATAAACTCACCTCCTTGGGCCGAAGTAACTTTGTCTCCCCAAGGCCGGAGTAACCTTGCCCTCTAGGCCGGAGTATTCAGTACGGCCTTTTTACCTAGTCCTCTGCGTTTTGGGCCTCAAAACCCAACTCGAAGCTCGGCCCAATTTTCCCAAAAATTACCCTCTCAATTTTCTAAACCCGTTTGACACATACTTTTAAAATTAAAAAGCTACAACCCGTTTGACACATACTTTTAAAATTAAAAAGCTACAACTATAAAGAAATTATAACCACATCCAATTGCACCAATATATATATTTTTTTCTCAATGCTATATTATTATTATTTTTTTTTTGAAAAGCTCAATGCTATAACGGTATCTTAGAAAGTTGGTAAAAAAATTATTTTTTAACTTTTTTTATGTAAAAAAGAAAAGAAAAAAAAAAGAAATGATATAACCTAAAAAAATTTAAAAATTGACTTTGTACCAACTGGCCAGAGGCGTTATAGCCAGCTTCCAAAAGGGCTTGTAGTATAGACAAGATTAGTTAATAAGCGGCTAAAGGAACAAACATTCCTTAAATCAAATTTTTTTTTTAAAATTATATGGGGAACGACAAGATTAGTTGAGCTTCTATTTTTACGCACTAAAATTTCTTTTAATAATATTACATGAATCAATTAATATACATATTAATATATTAATTAGTATTATGTTATTTTATTAACTCTACCTATTATATAAATTACAAATATCTAAAATTTCTAAAATTATGTTATATTATTTGTTAGTATTTTTACACACATTTTTTTATTTATATATTTTGTTAAATGTTTTTGAAACATTATATTTTAAATAGTAAATAAAAATATTTCTTTCCTTAACTTTTAAATCCTAGCTATGGGTTGTTTTGGAAAGTTGGTAAAAAGTTGGCTTTTGACTTTTTATCAAGTTTTTTGACTTTTGTGGAAGTGATTTAGGAAGTTGGTAAAAAGTCGACTTTTTGCTTTTTAGTTTAATATTTATTTATGGTGTCAAATCAAATTAAAATGATCAAAATATCCTTACCCAACATAAAAGATTTATTTTTTTATTTTTTTTTCATAGGTCCTAATTTGTAATTTTACAGCTGCGTTTTTGACACTTGCCAAATAACTTTTTTAACGTTTTTAGTAGTCACGTTTTTAAATATTTTGCCTAAAAACGTAACTTTTTATCATGTTTCCAAAATTGCACTACATGCATCACCCAGCATTACCATCCCATCAACATTCAGGTCGATGTTGACTTCATGGGGGCGACTAAGACGAAATTTAAAAATGGGGTCTTTATACATAATTAAAAATAAAAATTAGTTTTTTTTATTGTATACAAAATTTGCTTGCACATACAAATATTAAAATTATAAATTTTCTACTCATGCTATGCACGAAAATTATTTAAAATAAAATATTAGATGATAAATCTAATTTGAAAATAATATGTTAGTAAATAATTCGATTATAATTTATTTTTCACAGCAATCATAATTTGAGATAGATTTTGGACAATTTCAATAGGTAATGTTATTAATTTATTTAAATTTTTTTATGACGAAACTGATTGAATGTAAAATTTAATCAATTTCAACTTAAAAAAATTATTTCTTAGGAGACAATTGTAAATAGTATAATCGACAATATTCTATAAATAATTCATAGATTTAGCAAATAACCATCCATTACTATTAAATAATTCACCACTTTAATTATTTTATTTATCAAAAAATCAATGAAACTTTATTTTTAAACTACTAATATAATAATGTAGTATTTGATTCATTATAATAAAATAGAATAGAATGAAATTATAATTTTTTCATCCTCTCTAAAAGAATGAATATTCTCTTATAATGATTATTCTATTTATAATATTTTTTCATCATTTTTTTAGTGAACCAAACGTGAAAATAAATATTATGATAGAATGATTATTTAATTTTAATGAATCGAACCAACCATATAAACCAAATCATTCAGAGGCCCTAATTTTTACACAAAATTCAGGGGCTCAAGGTGGTCGCCTTGGTGGCCTTGCCTCGAGGCCGGCCCTATCAACATTTGCCACCACCCACCTCTTTTCCAATCTTATTCACCTTGTTTGGTTTCAGTTTTTAAAAAAACAGATTTTAGAAAATTTTACTTTTTTATTTTTCGTATTTTAATGTTTTTAATAAATTTTTTTAATATTTTAAGTATTTTTTTTTAATTTTTAGATACACCTAACATAAACACACTTAAAAATTATAATATTTGTGAAAAAAAATCTTTAAAAAATACACTAAATGCCAAAAAATACAAAAAAAAAAACAAAAATTTAGTACATTTTCGTATTTTTGTGCATTTATTAATTTTTTAAAATATTTTTTCACAAATATTTTATTATTTAGATACATCTAAGTAAAGTGCATCTAAAAAAGTAAAAAAATTATTTAAAATTTAAAAAATATTCACTAAAAAAAAAACATGAAAAATAAAAAACTCAATTTTCAGTTTTAGAAAATTTTACTTTTTTATTTTTCGTATTTTAATGTTTTTAATAAATTTTTTTAATATTTTAAGTATTTTTTTTTAATTTTTAGATACACCTAACATAAACACACTTAAAAATTATAATATTTGTGAAAAAAAATCTTTAAAAAATACACTAAATGCCAAAAAATACAAAAAAAAAAAAACAAAAATTTAGTACATTTTCGTATTTTTGTGCATTTATTAATTTTTTTAAATATTTTTTCACAAATATTTTATTATTTAGAAACATCTAAGTAAAGTGCATCTAAAAAAGTAAAAAAATTATTTAAAATTTAAAAAATATTCACTAAAAAAAACATAAAAAATAAAAAACTCAGTTTTTAAAAAATTAAATTCAA